ATATTACAATGAATCATTCATACAAAAAAAAACTTTTACTAATCTACTTTTTGTATAAATGATTCATTGTATATATATATATATATATATATATATATATATATATATATATGTGTGTGTGTGTGTGTGTGTGTGTGTGTGTGTGTGTGTGTGTGTGTGTAGTAGTAGAACCACTTTATCTACTGTAAGGAAGTTCTAATTCTACTTCTGATTGTTAAATCGACAGATAAGAGCTAAACATCTATGTAAGTGTATATATTTTAATTAGGAAATCGACACCGTAATTTCAAAATCGTAAGGAAAATTATTTTTTTTCTTTAAATCCCTTTTTTACTCAAACTTTTATTTTTACAGAATTGAGCTGGTCTAAAATCGATGCTTATTTTAATCAGCATCTTTTTTTTTACTATGTCAGCCCATTTGATGACAGAGGGGACGCAATTCTCTCCACACTGAGAAATATATTTGAATTACGCAGCAAACCAAGCATTGAAATGAAATGAAATGAATCAGAAAAACAAAAAGAATCAGTAGTTGATGAACAAAAAAAAAAAAAAAAAAAATTCATACTTGTATCCTCATAATCTAATGAATCAGAATTGCTCGCGTTGAAAAGAATAATCTAATATACAGGGTGTCCATAAAGTTCGTGTGCACTTTAAAAAATTACAACTTTATTTGTATTTACGATAGAAATAATCTGTAAAAAATGTTATAAAATTTAATTTAGTTTTAAGTATAGCTAAAATAACTAATGTGATTTCAGGCATTACTGTAAATCAGTTGGCAAATATTTTCCGTGAACAGCAAAATCGTATTACCCTTTGTATTGCTAATGATGGAGGACATGTGGAAACTTAAATAAAATTTCAATAAAAGCTTAAAAAATATAGATTTACTTCTTTCTAATCCTTTTTGCCAATTGTTTCTATCGCAAATACAAATAAAGTTATAAATTTTTTAAAATGCACACGAACTCTATGGACACCCTGTATAAAACTTAAAGTTTCTGTGCGTGCTTCTTCGAAACATTGATAATTAGTAAAATATATCTATAAAGTTGCTTGTCTGTCTGTGTGTGTAAATATTACATAAACCCGTGATATTAAATAAATGCATTTTTGTCATTTATGTCTGTTGGCATGTGTCTTATATCTTGCCCAACTTAATGGAGATGACTAATTTACATCCATTCAGTTTTCAAAATGACCGTGTTTTGTTCGTAATTTCGAAACTGCTCCTTTTTTATCTTTATAAATAAATAATTATTTTGTTGATGGCATTTATAATGAAACTGTTTAGTCATTTAAATTCTGCACTGAAATTGATATCCACCTTAGCATTTAGATCACAGCTTGCCAATTAACGGAATAAACATTGTATAAAAAGAAATGAGAATTGGATGAGTATATTTTGGAAAATTAACAAATACAATAAGTTCTCTGTGGGATCAGGTTGAGATCATAGACAAAGAACACCATTGGAAAATTCGTAAACTTAAGGAATCAGCACATATGTTAGGCCAGAAAAATCTCCTGAGCCGACCAAACATAGAAATGAATACAATATGGGAATCAGTAATAAGGAGTACCAGAGAAAAGCGATAATAACAACGAAAATTGCAATATGAACTCTGGTAAAAACATAAAATGATAACAGCAAAAATTGCAATATAAGCACTGGTAAAAATGGTTGCTGAAGACATTAGGTTTATAATACCCAGAAATTCATGCACAGATGTGCTCAAGGACACATGGAACTGTGGATAAAGGCGTTGATTAGATCCAGTGACAGGACCCAAAGACTGTGAGTTCAATACCCGGTTAAGGCAGAGGAGAACTTGGAGAGGGGAATTAACAGGAGATAACTGATAACTGACATCCATTATACATGGCACGCGGAACTAGAACAGTCTACCCCAGTGAGCGAAATAAAGGGTTCAGTTCGACATTCGAACCACCTGAAGAAGGCCGGAGCGTACAACGGCCGAAACGTTGTAATAAATATGGCGACAAAGATGAGGACAATAGTCCGAATAATGTAAATATTGTACAATAAGTACACACCCCTTTCTGGTTTTTTGAACAGGAGTAGAGGTTTATCCATTGTCTTCTGTTTAGGGTTGGGTTTCTGCTTCATTCTAAAGTTTGCTTGAACATTTTACTTCGAACGTCTCATGTACTCTGAAATTTATTTACTAATTATTTTTATTTTTCCTCCTCAATAGGAGTAGATAGGTTCGTCTATCGCTCCGTTCACATTTCTCTCTGGTCTTTTGAGCAGGAGTAGAGGTTTATCACGTACTTCCTGTTTAGGATTGGGTTTCCGGTTCCTTCTAACTAAATTCTAATTCAGCTCTATACTTCCAACGTTTTTGCCTAAACTCTGAAATTGTATTTACTATTTTTTCCTTTTTTTCGTTTCTTCTCCTCATTAGGAGTGGGTATGTTCGTCTATCGACCGGTTCACACTCCTCCTTGTTCTGTTGAACAGGAGTAGAGGTTTATTCCTTGTTTAGGATTGGGTATTCGGTTTCTTCCAAAGTTTTTTTTTCATTTTCTTTCACTCCCAGTAGCCCCCTTGCGTCTTAACGACATTATCACCTTGCTTAGGGGGAAATGATTAAAAAAAAGTTATAACATGTTGCCTAAGAAATAAACAATTATGAAACTGTTTAAATTTCTCAAACGACAGTTTCGCTAATTTTACGGTGTAGGGATGCAAAAGGCGTTATCTTCTTTTGATTGAGATGAAGTCACGTTGGTCATGTGACAGCCGTCTAGTGACGTCACTTCAAGGAGTGATGAAAGTGGTCAGTTCGTCAATTAACTGTCTGGAGTCAAGACACACGAGTTCTTCGTTCTACCCGGGCTTCTATCCGGATCAACCAGCTGATACGTGGTGCAGCTGACAAGCCCATGGTGCCGTTTTCACGAGGAAATATATCTTCACCACTATATATAAAATTGAGGAATGTGTTCTCGCTAGCGACATAACAGATAAATCCGGCCCGTTCGAAGCTCGAATTCTAAATATGGCTTCTCCAGAACACAGAAGAATTTCCGGAAGCTCCAACTCCCGTTGGGCATTATTACAAGTGAGACGTCTTATTTTCACTTTCACTCTGCTTGTTGTTGCGTACGTTATAATTTCTCTGCGTGGGGCAAATGTAAATATGTGTATATAATTTTGTGTATAACTTAGCGGTATAAAACTCTCTCTGAGAAGAAAGCATGTCTATCATTCCTTTCCTTTCAGTTATTCCGTTCCGCCCGTGAAGTAAGGCGTCGTTACATCATAAATATATTAAGGCCCATAATGGGGGAAATGAAACAGAAAATATTCTTTTCTTCCATAGCTCACCCATTACCTGTTGACCACGACGTGATGCGATATTATTTACCCCTATTAACTAGTCACCCCTACGTGACATATTATTAAACCCCATTAACTGATGACCACAACGTGATTGTATTAGTACCCCATTAACAGTATACGTAAAAACTTCTAAAGAAAAGGTTACCTCGGCGCAGCAGACCAAAGCAAAGGCAACGCTGAGTGTCATTGATATCCTTTGTTCTTTTGTTTATACTTTGTTCTTGAAATATATTTTGCAAAGTAGTTTTAGTTTAATAAATTGTAACAGGTGTATCTGGAGTTGCTTGGAAAATAATCAAATACGAACTACTTCCTAATGTACATTTAAAATGCAAGCAGAATGCAATGTTATTTCACGTCGATCTACGAGTGCTATTCATAAAATGTAACTCACTGGACTAAAATTGGTAACCATCTTAGCATTTAGACCACAGCTTGGCAGTTAACGGAATAACCATTGTATAATGTTCGTATAATCGGCGACTAACCTGGTTCCCTCACCAGGGGTTTCTGGTGAGGAGGGTGGCTAGATACACAGCAGGATTACAAAGAACACCGGATGCACGGCGATCTGTCACAATGGCGTAGAGCGGGCTTCATCGCTATGGATGAAGCCAGTGCGGTGATGACGCGACATTGCTGGGCGGAGGGTCTCCTAGACTGAAATAAACGACCAGTTTGGAGAGCTGTCTCGATAGAATCAACGGCAACGTGCCCGTGATGAAGGCGAGCCCTCAAGTTGGAAGACATCGGCTGCGGTTTGACCTGGAGAGGGATGAGATCAGGGCAACTTTACCAAGGCACGCTGCGCATGTACGGATAACTCTCTGGCTTTCAACCCAGGTCCGTTGTCGGAATTGGTCAGGTGGTCAGCTGCGCAACGACCACAGGGGACATGATGATGATGATGATGGTGGCAGTGGTAATGATGATGATGGGGATTATGATGGCGATGAGGCTAATGATAATGATGATGACCATGATGATGATGGTAATGATGATGATGATTGTGATGATGATAATGGTGATGATGATGACAATGATGATGATGCTGGTAATGATGATGATAATGGTGAAGATGATGACGATCATGATGGTGGTAATGGTGATTGTGATGATGATCATCATGATGGCAATGATGATGATGGTGGTAATAATGATGGTGATCATGGTGATGATAATGATGATGATGGTGGTAATGATGATGATGATGATGACATCAATCAGAAAAAAAGAAAAAGAAGTGAAACATGTTGGTAAATTTCAAGATGTCGTTTTAGCTTTAATAAAGGTTTTAAGCGCACCAATTTTGCTGAGAAGGTCAGTCGCGGATAACCGAGGATGTAGTTGGCGATTCCGTGGATGGCGAGGATCTACTGCACTTAGCCAGACAGATCTTTTAGGCATTCTCTTTTATCTTTTACTGAAACAGGCCGTTGAAAAGTGAATATTTGATGAGTGAAGAGCCGATTACAATTTCCGATGGGCGTGAGTTTTCTCTTTCAAAAGACTTTATCATCTTTCTGTGAGTTGAATGGCGAGTATTTTCATAGAGAAAATTACAAGTATCGAGAAGTACATAAAACTACCAAGTCTATACTTGTAATGCTAGTTTGATATCTATGTCATTATGTTCATTCTTATCTCACTTTATTCATATCTATCTATCTATCTATCTATCTATCTATCTATCTATCTATATCTATGTATGTATGTATGTATCTATCTATCTATCTATCTATGTTCATATTATTATAAGTATATATGTATAATTATCTATCTATTTATCTATCAGTCTGTTCATATCTATCTATCTATCTATCTATCTATCTATCTATCTATCTATCTATCTATCTATCTAAGCCTATTCATATCTATGTATGTATGTATGTATGTATGTATCTATCTATTTATCTATCTATCTATCTATGTTCATATTATTATAAGTATATATGTATAATTATCTATCTATCTATCAGTCTGTTCATATCTATCTATCTATCTATATATCTATCTATCTATCTATGTTCATATTATTATAAGTATATATGTATAATTATCTATCAGTCTGTTCATATCTATCTATCTCTATCTATCTATCTATCTATCTATCTATCTATCTATCTAAAAACAATTGTCCTAACCACCCTTTTATCTTCAGTTGAATCATGGACCACCTATCGAAAGCACATTAAGGTCTCAGAGCCTTTTCACCAGGCGTGCCTGAGACGAGTCTTGGACATCAAATGGCAGTCTTATTCGCCAGATACAAAAGTCCTTCAGCGCGCAAACATAGTCAGCATAGAGAAACTACTTCTCTGTAATCAAATGCGATTGACATTTCATCTGAGACGTATGAAGAAAGACAGATTGCCTGAAAATCTTTTTTTTTATGGTGAAGTGGTACAAGAAGAACAACTCGCTCGCAAACCCCCAAAACCTTTCAAGGGTGTAGTTAAATAAAATCTAAAAACTCCCAGGAAACTGGATAGAGATCTGAATTGAGCATTCCAACAAAAAGTGCGACATTAGGAAGGCAGAATTCCCAGAGCTGTTATGTTGAAATATGTGCTAATTTGGTTTGCAATAAATAGTAAAATAAAGGAATTTCTCTCGGGCTCTATATTGTAGGGCTCGCCCCCTGTACACAAGATGGACTCGTCCAAAGTATACTTATACTACGGAGTGATAGCGTGACACAAAAGGTCGAGACAGGGTGTTCACTCAGAGTTATACGAGAGTCCAGAAAAAGAGATAATTACGGCTTCACTTATAGAGACTTGTACATATACTTTTCTACTAATCCGCATTCCTGGACTACTAATCTTCATTCTAACTTTGTATTCTTACGTTTAATACACATATTTTTCTATTTCAAGTACTGGCGTTGTTTATTTATTTGTGCAGGATTCCATCCCCGGAATCCACAACACTCTAATACCGTAAAGAATATTTTTTATTGCAAAACGAAAGATAGGTATTTTGGTTTATTTAAAGCATTTGCAATAAGTTTACTTTAAGCTATGTAAATATCTTTAAAATATATCACTAGTAAAAATTATTCAAGTCGGGACGGGTGCAGGCGAATTAGAGAGGGGGGGGGGCTCCGTCTGATGGGCATAATTTTATTAGCCCAGGGGCTCCAAAAGATCATAATACAGCCTTGTACACAAAGTTTTCTAGAAGTAAGCTAATGATTTAAAAAATCTCGTAATTTTAGCATTTTTTATTATTCAAAAATAGTTTTATACAGAAGGAAAATTCAAATTCTGGAAATATGTTCCCATTTAATTATGAAAAATTATAAGACGTAAAAATCCGCCATTTTCGACTTCGGGGTTTATTGATGTATACACGCTCTTTAAGGTATCCTAACAGTCACTTGGCAAGTCACTTACTGAACCAGATTGCCTAAACTGTTGAATCAACCGAGAAAGCATGAAAATTCTCGAGTCCCGTAATAGCAATCCATATCCGCACAGGTATGGGTTAAATAAGAAGACTTGTATCTGAAAAAATCATTGTTATCCGCCCAAAATTGTTAATGCAATATTCCCTCGCAAAAAAAAAAAGAAAAAAATAGAATTATTCTCACAATTTAAAATATGTTTCAGCTTTAAATAAGCCACAAAGATTTCGTAAGCTGTAAAAAAAACCAAAAACCAAAAAAACAAACAAACCAAACAAACCAAAAACCCAAAACAAAACAAAAAAAAAAAAAAACAAACGACAAATCAGTCAATCAAATTGTCGGAAGGTCGCCCGGAGCGTGGCTGATCGTTTAGGCTAAAAATCACTCTGACGAAATCTACCTAACCACTTTCTGACCGCCCGAAGAGCTGGAACACGATCCAAATAAACCTTCTGAATGTTTTTTGTCACAGTTCCAACGTTTCATAGAGAATAAAATGGCGAAAATTCAACTCTTCGTCCTCCATCTTGAAGATATTCATTTATAAAACAAAACATCAACATTCAACAAAGTCTGACTCGCAAACGATGAAGCTTTCAATCTTGAACACACCAGTAATCGACACCAAACCAAACCAAATACCTATGCCAAATTGTGGCCATTTCATTATAACAATGAAAGTCGGTCACGAATATATATATATATATATGTGTGTGTGTGTGTGTGTGCGTGTGTGTGTGTGTGTGTGTGCTAATATGTAGAAAAATAGGAAAGAACACGTTAGGTAGTTAGTATTTTTGTTTTTATTTAAAAAAAAAAAAAAACAGTGCTCCATACAGAAGTAGAGATTAAATTAAAATTAAATTGAATTCCTAAATTTTCGCTTGAGGATAAAACAGAGCTTGATACTTTAATTCAATTTAATTTTAGTAATTATATTGAAGTTTTTGGATTCTGTTTTTGAAACATGAGAACTCTTATGTAGCGAAGGAATCATATTTTAAAAAAATAATTATAATATATATATATATATATATATATAGCCTGGATGACATTAATAATACTAACGTGTAAATCTGAAGAGAAAACAAGTTGCCTTAAGCTAGACACTGTAAGAGTATATATATATATATATATATATATTAAAAAGAAGAGAGATACTGCAAAACGTTTGCGGTTTCCTCTCTTCTTTTAATATACACACTTTTCTCTCGTTGGAACTACTGTAACCTCTTCATATATATATATATATATATATATATATATATATATATATATATATATATATATCTATCCATATATATATATATATATATATATATATATATATATATATATATATATATATATATATCCATCAGCGTATCTAAAATATATATATATATATATATATATACATTTTAAATACGCTGGATATAAGTGTTAAAAATCAGATATAATTAAAGATATCTACATATAAAATTCTATGACTTCCTTGCGTTCGTCTTTCACACCCTCTAAAATAGCCATACATTGACCAATCGAAATAAAATTTTGGGGGGAGAAGTTCCAAACAGATAAGTGTGTACAAAGTACAGTTGGTTTTACTAGGTTTTTTTTTCATTCATTTTTTGGGAAAAATTAAAAATTTATTATTTAACATGCAAAATATTCCCACTATTTTAAAAACAAATGATTAAAATAACAAATACTTATTTAATAAAAATGCAATATCGTTTTATTTTCATATCTTTTCTTTAAATTTTTCTATACAAGTCTCCAGTTTCCAGTTCGTCCTGCGTTTGCGAGAAATCTCGAGCGGTTCAAAAAATTGGAATTTGGCTCCAGAAAAAAAAATGTATGGCAGTTGTATGTTGCATGCTCAAGAGTAAGAAATCCTAAGAATTTATTCTTCGCTGTTAAAAAGGGGAAAAAAAGAAATTTCCTTAAAAAATATTGTTTACCATGATGTCCTATAAAATTTAATTAAATTAAAGAAATTATTAAATCGCGAAGTAAAGTTTTTGTCAAAGTATTTTTCCAAACAAATCAGCTTATTCAAATTTCATCGATTGGTGTACAAAATTGAACGAAAGGAAACCATAACTCTGATCTGAAGGAATCGCAATTATTAAAAGAAAAAGTGACTTACTTAGAAAATTTTTCAGAGTGACGCTATCGAATCTTGCCAAAATATAATTCGGTGCCACAGATTTTTTCAAATATCTTCTTTTCTGAAAAAAAAAAAACTCCTTTCCCAGACCAACAGGCAAAAATTTTATAAAATTAAATGAAAACGGTTAAAAACCTATTAATTTTAAAAAAAAAAAACATAAATTAATCTCAAACTAAAATAATATAAATAATAATTATATTGTGAAAAAATTCAGAAACGACATTTACTCACTTTTGTTTATTATACATTATACTAATTCACTAAGTATCGTACATAATTTACCTTGACTTTCAGATAGCCTTGTTATGTTATGTTATATTATTAATCAGATATTTTTATTACTTCAAACGTTATCATAGGGGATATTCTTATTTGAAATAGATACCCCAATTTATTTTTACTTTAAACAGTGTGTATTATCTCTCTCTCTCTCTCTCTCTCTCTCTATCTATCTATATATATATATATATATATATATATTTTAGATATAGTAAAAAATTGTTTTAAATATTTATGACAGTTAGATTTAAGTTAGGAATATCCGAACAGTGACGTTCCATATCACGTGACGTCCGCGTCTCGCGAAGGACGCTACTTGCTAACAAACAGTAATTTTAATTTATTTGTAACAAACAGTTATTTCTGATGAAAAATTGAGGACAATTTGAAATATCAAATATATATATAAATAAATAAATACTTTCATAAAATAAAACATTATAATTTTCAATTTGAAACTTTTTCTATAAATATATATATATATATATATATATATATATATATATAATAGAAATCTTATAAGTATAAGAAACTATACTCGCTCGGAAAACCTTCGGTGTCTTGATTTGCAAATAAACAAGACAATACCAAAGGGAAAAAAGGTATAAAAAAGAAAGAACCAAGAACATGTACGTTAATGGAAAATAATCGTCCAGTATGCAAGTCCAAGGCCCAAAGAAAAAAATCCCGATGCGAGTAGGCAAAATAACTAAATAAAGTGCTCAATACAATGAGTAGAGCAGACCTAGTTAAACATAGAGAGCCAGACAAACCTACCATAAATATATATATATATATATATATATATATATATATACAGAGAGAGAGAGAGAGAGAGAGAGAGAGAGAGAGAGAGAGGAGAAAGAGAGAGAGAGTTTTTTTCTTGTTTATATACTAAATATGTCTAAATTTTTATTATAATATAAAAT